TTTTAAAGGCTAATTCTTTAATCCCAACCAATTCAATTACCTGTCGAATCTGGACAGGACGGCCTTTCGGGCCTTTTTTATTGTCATTATAGTATTACGGGGAACCCCGAACCAGCCACATCCGTGCTCAAGCCTCTAACGAGGGAACATGTGGGAGCCGCTCCCCATGAATAGATTGGAGAGGGCAAGGAGACGGAGGGTCCCACTGGTACCCCCCAGTGGTCCCATCTGGTCTCTGGGTCTGGCCTTGTTTTTAGGATAGATAAAATGCTCGACCTGGTTTCCAGCGATTTGAAGGAGCAGGATCTGCTAGTTTCTGTGTAGGATCTGCTATCCGGCAAGGAGAATGACGAGGAGGGTATACAAGCCTTCTCAACTACGGTATTGACCATTGCAGCAACGAACCATGTTCGAGATGGGAAATTGGCACCGCCTTCATTTCCACAAATCTACTACCAGTTATGTAATACCTACTGATGTGACTTTAATGTTTGACTAATTTTATAGACTGTTACCCAGGTTCCACGTACGGTTTCGCGTACACGTACACTATTAGTGGGTAGTATCACTTGCTGGAAAACGGGTCCAGCGTCCCTTGTAGAGAATGATTCAAAAAAACCAGGAAAGACAGAAGATAATCAGTGTCTGGAAGAAACCTGTCAGCATCATACTTGCAACCGCACGAGCCGCAMATTCGTGCGGAGTTCCGTACGGAGTTCCGTGCGGGGGGTGCCTGTGCGGAATCGTGCAGGTTTTTTATTTTTATTATTATTATTATTATTATTTTTTTTGGGAGGGGGAACGGGGGGGCGTATGACAGGAAGATGGGGATATGGCAAGGAGAGGGGGATATGGAGAGGAGGAGGTGGACGACGAGGATAGCGAGGACGACGAGGAGGAGAAGTCGAGATGGGGGAGGAGAAGAGATGGACGGAGGGAAAAGAGGAAGGGCAGGAGGAGGAGGACGAGTGGGAGGAGAAGACATGGACGGTGAGGAAGGAGAGGACACGAGGAGGCATGGAAGATGAGGAAGTACGAAGAGGAGGAGGAGACAAGGAGGATGAGGAAGGGCAGGAGGAGGACGACGAACAGGAGGATGGACAGGAGGAGGAGGAGGAGGAGGAGGAGGAGGAGGAGGAGGAGGAGACGAAAAGGAGAAGGGAGGAGGTGACATGGAGGATGAGGAAGGGGAGGAGGAGCAAGGTGAGGCAGTACTCCTATAATTTTTTTTTCATCTTGCTTATTATTTTGGCGGGGGGCCTCAAACGCACCGTTTCGACCCCGGCCTTTTATTTTTTTTCTTAGGGGGGTGACGGGTCGTTCTCGGCACACGTCGTGCGCCGCGCGTAGGGAACCGCCCGCACGACGTGCGCTTGCATGTATGGTCATCATTGATTACTCTGAATTCCAGAGGATTCCAGAGGATTGACTAAGTAGGATATCAAAAGAATTGTTTGAACAAAGGTCTGCCAGCATTGATTACTCTGGTAATCAGAGGATTAACTGTGCAGAATACTGAGAAAAAGAGGAAAACCAATATTGTCATCCTTTTTTAAGGTCATGGAATTGCCTGATGGCCTTGATTGTCCTGGGATAGACGAGCCATGCTGAGCTAGTTCTCCCTTTTATATATCTGAAATCACCCAAAAAAACGAAGTTTCAAGCCCGATTTCATGTACAGACAGGGTATGGCATAGAACACCCCTGCCCACCATTTTTAACGGCTATATGTAATATATTTATTGATTGGATATAGCCTCTGGATAATTAAAGAAAAGAAAAGCACAAAAATGTGTGGGTGCATGTGTGTGTCATGTGTGTTAGTGATTGTGTGTTCCTTTCGATCACACACACCCACACACAAACATGCACACATTACCCTTTTTTTGTTTTATCTTTTTCTCGTATTTTAATAAGAATTTGGGGTTGCTGATCAGAGAAATATTGTTTGTTTGCCTATGTTGTGTAACATGTGTTTTTTTCAGAATTTTTTTTTTTCCTCGTATGTTTTACGTACAGAAGGTACATGGCCACGTACGGGGTTGCGTGCATCAAAAATGTGTACGTTCTGCGTTATGTACAAAAAGGTCCCGTACGTGTACACACGACCACATAGACCCAGTCTAGACTGGCAGGGTACGGTGAGCAGCACGATCGGACGATGGATGTACTTCATTGACCAATTTGACTTCACACCAAAACATCTCGCCGGCCTCTCCAATCGCGCAACAGATGCACTCTCGCGAAGACCCGATCTTTGCGCTAGGACACATTATGCCTTCGCGTCCGACTAAGAACTCAAACGACACTTCATCCGGGGCTATGAGTCCGATCCGGATTTTGCCACGCTCTATGCTTAGCTATCTTCGGATCACCCACTGGCCAACCACTATCGCATCGTCGACGGGTACTTGCTCCTCCACTCGCAAGGCAAGGACTGATTGTGTGTCCCACGAGACCGTCATCTTCAGACTCGCTTCCTCGGCGAGTACCACGACTCGTGACTCGTTGGCCATTTCGGAGTCAATCGCACTATTGCACGACTTCGGCAACGATTCCGATGGCCCGACCTCATTACCGATGTCACTCGGTATTGCGACTCTTGTGAAGTTTGCCGGCGAAGCGAGCCCCGCAACCGCAATCCCTACGACAAGTTGCGCCCGATGCCTATCCCACGAGAACCCGACCTCTCCATTGCCATGGACGTCACCGGTCCGTTTCCCCGCGTCCGCCTTGGGCATGACGGCATCCTCACGGGCGTTGACCGTTTGAGTAAGTACGCGCAGTTTCTCCCTTGCAAGTACTACGTCACGGCTCCCGAACTTGCGCGCCTCTTGCACACCGGCTGGATTTGCAGCCACGGCGTAGCAGAAGACATCTTTAGCGACCGCGACACACATTTCATGTTGGCATTCTGGTCTTCTCTCATGCAGGAATCTGGCACCAAGATGAAACCAAGTTCGGCTCAACATCCACAAACGGACGGGCAAACAGAGCGGGCACATCAAACCGCTGAAATGATGCTTCGTACACTCATCCGTCCGGATCAGAAGGATTGGGTTGATCGCCTCCTCGACATCGAGTTCGCCTACAATACTTTGTTGCATCTGGCGATCGGGGTGACTCCATTCGAGTTGCACCACGGTGGCCGAAAAGGCCGTATCTTCGCTGATCTTCTCCTCCCACGAAGAGCCGACATAGACGCTGCTTGCTCCCCCGCTTCCGTCCGGAAGTATAGGGAATTGATGGCTCAAGCACGCACGAACATGCAAAAGGCGCAAGCCAACATGCGTCGCGTGCCATGTCCCATCCACGCCGGTGATCTGGTTTGGGTATCCGCGGAAGAGTTTGCATTCGAGCAGGATGTTTTGCGCAAACTACTCCCCAAGTGATTTGGACCACGACCTGTAACATCAGCTGCAGGCGATGAGCCCGATGGCCCCTCATTTGTGATCAACATCCCCCCGCATCTGACGGTCCATCCAGTCCTTCACGCCTCGAAGCTGGCGACATATACACCAGCTAAGAGCGACGACTTCCCGGGCCGACAATCGCAAGACCCTCCATCTATGGATGGTCATCAGGAAATTGACCGTGTCATCACGGATCACAAGTACGACAGCAAGCCTCGACAGTACAAAGTTACCGTCAAACCATGTGATCCCGACGACACTTGATGGATTTCAGGAGCAGATTTGAAAGCATCCACATCGCTGATGTACTACGCTCACTACGAACGACAAAGGTTAGCTAAGGGAGCTTCACGACCTGCCCCTCCCACCCGGACTTTGGTCCCTCCCTCAGACAGACAGCTTCGCTCTCGTGGGTAAGCTCGGTCTTTCAAGGAGGGGGGGGTGTGGCATACTGCGCAGCCACACGGGCCTGCAGGGCCTGACCAGCGTTCTCAGCCTAAAAGCCTGAAAACAGGGGCCTACAGGCCCTGTGTCGTTTCAGCCTAAAAGGGCCCTCCAGGCCCTTAGTCTTTTCGGCCTGAAATGGAGGGCCATTTTCAGGCCCTCATAAGATCGACCTGCCCTGAAACTTAGGCACCAGACCAGGGTTTTAGCACAGGCCATTTTGGGCCTGTTTTCAAGACAACCTTCGTTTGAACTTCAACACCAGGGTCTGGCACGTTTTGGCATTGGCAAGAGCAGCCTCCTGGATGGGCCAGCACTATATAAGACTAGCCCGCCCTGCAGGTCGCAGGTAGTTCACGAGGTAGTTCATAGGGACTTCCCAGGCACTTCACGTTCAGGAGCACTCTGGAGGAGTGCTGCAGTAGTAGTGGCAGCGTTAGCAGTAGTCTTCAGCGCTGGGTGCTATTAGGAGCTAGAGTAGCGTTGGAGGGAGAGAGATGGTTGGCGGAGGCCAGGGAGACTTACCTGTGGCGCCATAGCTCCAGCTTCGTCTTTGATGTACCTGCAACAAGGCGCCACCTTCACAGGTTAGTACCGGACTCTGAGAGAGAGAGAGAGATTTCTTCTTCTTCCTCTTCTAAGTCCACCGTCTCTCCCTCACCCTCTCGCCACCTGACTTCTCAGTATCTGCACACTACGAGAGAGAGAGATTGGTGACTTTGGTACTTGACGACATTTGGATTCAGACTCAACATTGGGATTGAGACATTGGACGAGGGATTATTTGGGACCTGTAACGAAGACTTGGTGTTGACAACATTCCCATCTTCCCCTCTTCTTCGTCTAATCCCCCTCCTTACCGTCTGTGTATGTTTGGGACTGTCGCATTCTCCCTGTGTGAGCGCCAGGTCCCTTCACACCATATGATGATGATGACATATGTTTGGTCTGCATTGCGACATTGATTGATCGGATCATTGGTATATTAGCCTTCGGCTGCGCTATCTTGTACTATGTGAGAGAGGTCAGTTCTTGTTCTGGTCTGCACCTTTACGGTATGCGACACTGCCTCACCTGCAGGTAACTGCTGCCATGTACTAACGGGCCGGTGTGTCCTCTGTGCTGCAGGTCACTGGCGAGAAGTCCAGCTATGGCGCCCAGGTGAGTCCTCCGCCGCTGCAGGTATGGCCTCTGCCTCTCTCCCTACCTACACCTCTACCTCTAGCGCATCGCTGTATCGCACTGCTCCAGCAGCGTGTCGCCCAAGAAGTGACCTACTCAAACTGTGTGTCCATCCTGGCCTGGACTGGCCCAGCTGGTGTGCCTCTGGTTCTGGCCTGAAACAGCCTGCCTGGGTCCCTACCGGACGTCCAGGCCCTCCCTGCTGACGCAGCAGGGAGTGTCCGCTACTGGACAAACACGAACCTGGCCCGAAAGGGCCTGCCTGCGAACCAAAAAGGCTCAAAATGTGGCCTTTGTCCGAACAGACCGAAAGTCTGTTCAGACAATGTGCAAGTCCGAAACGATGCCTGAACAGACAAAATAGGACAGCAAATAAATAAATAAATGAATGCTGCCTCAAATCGCATCCTGCGACCCTAAGGCTGGTCGTGGGCCTCCAGGGCACACGCCTGAATGGCGTGCTGCCTGGGGGCCCCCAGCAACCGTCGGGGGCCCGTGTGCAGGCTCAGCATATAACAATATCAGAGGCAGCAACTTGAGGCCCTCATTAGACACTCTTCAGCTCGCCCTCAGGCTCCAAGGACGAATCCTAAGAAAAAAATAGTGTTTTCGTCGTCTTCGTTCCACATATCCTCGGAGCGTTGGCTTTAGGACTTAGTCCTAAGAGCGATGTCAGGAAAACAAAAAAAGTATGCTTCAGGCTTTCAGCCAATAGGGTGCCGCCATGATCCAGATTCTCGGTTGTAATGTAGGACTACGTGCATGCCATCTCCTCTCCATGAAACACAGGTCCTCGGGCTGCAAGGGACCTAGCAAGGTCCCTTGGAGCCCAAGGATGAAATGGCTGGAGAATCCAAATTCCTTAGGATTCGTCCTCGGAGTGTTTTCACATTTTTCTCCGGTTTTATCTCTGAGGACAAGTGGAACGACGATGAAATCCTTGGAGTCGCGTTGCCGAGGGGTGTCTAACGAGGCACTTGCTCTGTAAAATGCAGATTTCTCAGACTGAAAACTGCACAAGTCATTACACAATGTCATCCATTTATCAAGAGCGACATGTGTGTCAGCGTCCACAAGCCACTTATATATCAGGTTCACATCAACAACGAAGATTGAGAAGAAGAAGAAGAAGAAGAAGAAGAAGAAGAAGAAGAAGAAGAAGAAGAAGAAGAAAGAAGAAAGAAGAAGGAAGAAGGAAGAAAGAAGAAAGAAGAAGAAGGAACAAGGAAGAAGAAGGAACAAGGAAGAAGAAGAAGAAGAAGAAGAAGAAGAAAGAAGAAAGAAGAAGAAAGAAGAAAGAAGAAGAAGGAACAAGGAAGAAGAAGAAGAAGAAGAAGAAGAAAGAAGCAGAAGGAAGAAAGAAGAAGGAAGAAAGAAAAAGAAAGAAGAAGAAGAAGAAGAAGGAAGAAAGAAGAGGGAAGAAAGAAGAAGAAAGAAGAAGCAGAAGAGGAAGGAGTCAAAAGATGGCAGCAGAAGAAGACAAAAGAAGACAAAAGAAGACAAAAGAAGACGAGGAAAGAAGACGAGGAAAGAAGACGAGGAAAGAAGAAGAGGAAAGAAGAAGAGGAAAGAAGAAGAAGCACTCAATGACAGATAGTGTAATGTCAGATAGTGTCATGTCAATGGCATGATGAAATGCATCCACTGAAACAGTTATTTTACCGGAATGGAGATCAAAGTACCAGAAGATTTGATGTCATCGACCATGATTTTCAGAGAAATTTCACCACATTTACATTCTTTTTGTCTCTTTCCTCTGATTGGCACATCTCCCTTTTCATATTTTTGCAGCAGTGAATTCCAAAAGACAACAAAAAAGAGAAGGAGAAGAAAGAGGGATTCCAGAGAAGATAATTTCTTGCTAAGAGTACTCGAAGAGAGTCGTCCTGTACACTGCAGATGGAAGATCCCTCCCTTGCGTTCGCTGTGACCCTGCCGATGTACAAAGACAGTTTTTGCAACCGTGACGAGGTCAGCATCGACTCGGAAGCGTCATCTTCACAAGCGCAGGGTCGACAAAGAGGTGATGGGGGCAATGATGCTCACTGCTATTGCAAGTCGACGATTCAGAATATGGCGATGGCGTGGAGGAGAGAGAAGGAGCAGCAATGGATGCTATTGCAGAGGATTGAGGAGTGTATTGCTGAAAAGGAACACTCCTTGAACGAGATCGAGAGATGCATACAAATCAAGGAGCGTTGCGTTTTGGACATGGCACTAGAAGTAAGGCCTGGAACTCAGCCTCTGACCTGTGCTTTCACTTCTTTTGTTCAGTACATTTGAGATGAAATTCGATTTAGCTTACTCATTTTGAATTCTCAATCTCCTCCCCCCCCGCCCCCCGCCACCCCAACCCCATCCAGTCAGTCACTCAGTCACTCAGTCACTCAGTCAGTGAGTCGTCCATTTGGACGAAGTTCCTTTTTGCCCGTTGTGTTTCTTTTCTCCATTTGTTCAGCGCAAAAAAAAAAGTAGCCTGCAATGCACTCAGGCCATTCAATGGGGCCTGTCGTGGCCAATGAATGGCCCGTGGACCGCTGGTGCACAGTGGACAGTTCCGCAAATGCCACAAGGGAGTGCTCAGCCTATTGTCATTCAGCTAGCCAACAACCAGCCTGCTTCCAATCTACCCGCTATCAATCAACCTCCTGTCAACCAGCAGACGTCTAACCAAGCGTCGAATCAGCAACCTCCGAGTGAGAATCGGCATGGAAATGGCGGTGGGAAGGGGGAGTCGGCGAACGCCTTCCCGGACGGGGAAATCGAGCATATTTTACAAAAGAATATAATGCAGTTAACTCAGCTCAAAAACATGCAGTAGTCGTGGGCTAAGGGTAGCCATTTTGGTCTAAGGCCGAGATAGGGGACAAACGGTCACGCCCAAGTCATGAATACCACCTGAATGAAGGCCTGCTATTGTGGGGTACCCGAAACCAGGCCTACAACTGGCCTTCAGAGGCCCAACGTGCGACAGTTGATCGTGGAAAGTCAAAGGTCAACAGCAGCTCGGAAATTCAGGCTCACGAGTCAAAGTCAACGTGGACCCAGTCCAGACCGCCGATCAAGCACACACACTTGGCTGTTTGCAGGTATCCGTCGAGGATAAAGTCCAAGTGGGAATCTGTAACTGGATGGATCCAGGCCATTGGCTGTGAGACAATCTGGGCCACCGTACCTGAGAGACCAGAGGCTGGTCAACCGGAGTCAACACTACATATTGACCCAGCCACTGCTGACCGACATTCAGTCTTGCACTTGTTGCTTGACGCTGGCTCTACGCTGGCTGGACGCTGGCACTATGCTGGCTCTATGCTGAGTACGACGACGCGAGACTGCTATTGCTTTGTGCAGGCGCCTTCCTCTGTCTACGGCGCCAGCTGTATTCCTGACTATGATGGCGTGGCTCTTGCCACACTGTCTACTACAATGATGGGATACTGGCGAGGAGGAGGAGGATCAGGGCTGTGAGATTGGTTGAATGTGAGGGAAGCGTACCTGTCTGCGTTTGTGTCGATATTGCTCATTGATGATCGTCTTCAGAAGTTGTCTGCGCTGAGTAGGCGCCATGATGAGATCTGTTCATTGTCAGTGTATGTCAGAGAAGACTGTCTGCTGACGTGGCAAGTGGGAGATGCCCGAAGAGGAAGTGGGCCTGAGAGGGAGATCTATCTGCTAGGTTGATGGACACTTCTCTTCCACCCTCTTAAGTCCTATCAGCCTCTTCTCTGGTGACTTGACATTGGACTACTTGATTACTTGTACGATTGTGGAGACAGTGTAACTGCGCTGAGACATACTGTTCTCGACATTGACGAGCTTCTCTCCTGATTGGGTTCGTTGCAATATGGAGATCTTGGAAGATATTAAGTCGAATAAGGTACTTGAGAATGCTAAGAAGAAGGTGGCAAGCAGGCAGCGTGGTGGAATCCGCGTTTCAGAAAATACGTGTGAAAGCTGCCCGTCTGAAGTCAACTCCAGCGGGAAGAGCGATGAAATGAAGGCTTGGGTAACATCATCGTGAGGTGACTCGCTGAAGTTGATTAACCAGAAGCTAGGGGAAGTCGACTCAAAAGCAAAGCTGGCGAATGCTGAACGGGAAGAATTGGAGAGACTAAGAACTGAGAAGGCAATGTTTGAGAAGGCAAAGAAGGAGACTAGTAGTGAGAAGAGGAAGCGTCGGATGGAACGCACACCGATGGCGGAAACTCCGCAGGATAATTTGGTAAAATCGCAGTCTCCAGGCAGCACAAAGGGGAGGGGCCGACGAGTTAAAATTCCGTCTGACGAGGAGGGACCAGTGGAGAAAGTGAAGCAGAATTTGAGCATGAAGCTTGAAAGCAGCAGCGATCTATCTGATGTCAAGAAGCTGCTAACTGTGCTGGTGCAGGAGCTGGCCAATCAGAAAGAGAAGAAGTTGGCAGGCATTAAAGAACTGGTGGGTATCGAAGAACTTGCTGAAGCAGATGATGAAGATGGAGATGGCGCAGAATGCCCCGATTGCCAAAGATGAGGAGTCGGTGGATGACGGGGGCCTCGCGGTCTACATGAAGGTTCGTCAAGATTTCTATATGTCTCTGCACTACACTAGAGTCCAGGAACTGTGCACGCAAAAGGACATCTCGTACTTCCAGAAAGAGATGGGTGCCTGGGAGCTGGCTCGTCTGGATCTTCAAGATTATGTGGATTCCCTAAAGGAAGATGGTTCAGCCAGGATTGGCGAACCATCGAGGGTAGATGTAGCGCGCAATGGTGATAATGCTGGAGAGACTCCCGGTACGGGAAACTGAGCCATTGGAGCATTTGTGCGCTTAGGAGGGCTGCAGCTCGACTAATCAAGTTGAAACCTGCAGTTTATATAAGCACTGCAGCCGTCCTTGACCAGGTCCACATGTTGATCATTCTTCTGGCTTGTCTCCAGGGGGACATTGCGTGGGGTAGGGTATATGTCAGATTTTGGCTATGAATGCCAGCGTCAGAATGGGATAGAATGCGACGCGGCCAAGGGTGTGTGTGTCTCTGAATCACCGACTGGTATACGCGGGGAAGACCATCCGTCCTCTTAAGGAATGATGGGTGGAGCACTGTCGTGCCGTCAAAGGCACGAGGAAACAGCACGTCCATGTATGACTACGTAAAGTAGGCATAGAACATTACGTTCCTATTTCTATTTGGTTCGGAGCTGAATTGTTGATCGAGGGCATAGAGCAGAAGGTGATTAGAAGCCACAACCCAGGATTGAACACAAAAGGGGTCACATTAAAAAAGAGGTCTGGTCGCAGTCGTGGCACGAAGAGAACTGCTGATGGCTCCCCTCCTTTGGTTGTTGCTGAACCAGTGTTTTTTTACTGTCCTGTTCTGAATATTGTACAGGAACCTGATCTGCTGCGAATCCTGAAGCTTCTTGTTAAGAATAAGCTGAAAGGGGTAACCGTTGCACAGGTCAGCAATAATGCGGGTTGTAGGTAGTTGAAAGCCTGGAGGCTTGTGGTGTTGCTATTTGGTTTCACTAAGATTGAGCATAATGGTGACAAACTGCTGCTTAAAGATGCTAAGTCTCAAATTGAAGAAGGTGGGTGTTGGGCCATTACTACCGTCTTCACCCGAATAGAACACCGCGTCATTATAGCCATACCTGGTTCAACTTTCAGTCTAGGTACAGCGATAATGACCGGGCATTGTATTCAGGTGAAGACAGTAGTGTTTATCAGACAAAGACTAAGTCGGATCTGCTAAAAGCTGACCTCATTGCCTTGCTTCAGGCACCTTGGAAGAGAAGGGAGTTGTCTGTGTGCTCGTTGGTTGAATTGATTTCCCACAACAACGTTGTGAAAGCAATTAACCAGCACCGAGGGAGGCAAATCCTTTGTGGCATTCTAACTAACGCTTTCAAGAAGAGCTTCGGGATTAACCCCCGGTTGAATGTTGTTATCAAAATGCAAGGAATCTGAGCGAGAGCAATAGACAGAAATCCAGATTGCAAAATCACGAAGTAGACCAGATAGTCATGTACCAAGCAGAGAGCACGATGCACCAAGATACCATCCAAATAAGAGCAATACAATGAACTCGTATGCCAGTGTCGACGTTCTCTGGCCTCACCAACACAGTATCCAATGTCGCTCCTGATTGGCGCCCAGCACCCAGCCTACACTACTCAGCCTATCTACGTCTGCCTACATTCATGCAACCAGATCACATCGAAGTTGATGACCAATGTACGTGACATCATCAGTAATGCCGACCGCCCACACACACCAGGTATGTTCTCTCCACTCCCCTCATCACACCTTGTCTCCCCTCTGCATGCGCCTCCTACCTGAAGACCACCATCTCCATCACCTGCCACTGCACGCGCAGCCCGGCTATGACGGCCATGCACAACCTCTAGTGCCCGTGTGTGCCCTGGCCTGCCTGGTCAGCGCAGTATCGCAAGGCGAAGCAGCAGCGTGGCCGCATTGCCTGCTCAGGCCAGCATCCCTTCCCCAGGGGCACACTTTCCTTTATGGAAAGTTCGCCCCACTGCTGGCTGGTCTGGGCCAGGCTGCCCCCAAGTGTCTGCGCCCAGGCCCAGTAGCTTCAGGCTGCCCCCAAGTGTCTGCGCCCAGGCCCAGTCTCAGATACTCGCCTGAGCCTCATGCAGTTAGGCACGTCCAGGTAGCCCTCCGGGCTCCAAGTGTTTGCTGCATTCTCATTGGCTCGTGGTAGACGCGTGACGACAATGCTGGATTCTCATTGGTCCACGGCCACTGCATGATGTGTCGCCCTCCTACTGCGTGTGCCCAGGGCGCAACCACCTGAGCCCTGGGCTCAACTGTACAGCGCAGCTGTTGCTTCTGGAAGGAGCCACAGAAGGCTCACGTTGCTCTTTAACCAACTGGTGTGCGGCAACTGTCTGATACCCCACATACAAAAAATGTTGAAATTAGGCCTCTCGTGGAAGTACAGGCCCGCCTTCACTTAGGACGGGCACGAGGCCTGCTGGAAGCCGCAGCCTAGAACATTTGCATGCCTGAGAAAGGGCCTCGTGAGGGCTCATTCATCTCATTCCATCCCCCTTAGCATCGAAAGTCCGCTGAGATGCTTCTACGCAGGTGCTTTCCCCTTCAACTTCCGTTCATACTCTGCCACGATCTGAGGTGCTGTTCTGATGAGCTCCTCCTTTGTGAATCAACGATCTTCTTCGGGATCTTTATGATCCCTGAATCTGACCCAGTACTCCCTCATAGGTTTTGGTGGTCTTCCCCTGCCACAGGCTTGGGTACAGGCAAGTCTCTATGTTCCAAGATATCATCGACGTCCACATGGCATATATATATATGAAAGGAGGGCAAAAGTCAACATACTGAATGAGCAACAATTACAGAGAACTCGAATAATTAGTTGAACCAGAACACAAAGGACTTCACTGCCAAGAAAGCACTGACCACGCCCGCAATTGGTCGCACAAATACAACAACACTGGCACTGCAAACTACCCATTCACGTCACCATCATCCATATCACACCATGGTTAGACGACCACCCTTTCATTTGCTGTGTGGCCCCTTGAGTGTATGGAGTGCCATAATCCCAAACTCCACAAGATCTCCACATGACACTAGGAACGCTGCTGCTTAAAACACCCTAGAAGCTTCCCCATTTCTTCCGTGTGCTCCAAAAGAGCAGCCCGTGGGAATGACACCCACAGCAAACACTCTCTGAGCCTCCTTGCAAAGGTATCGTTGTCAAAACTCCAAACATACATTCCCACCTCCAAAAATTAGTGGTGACCCACAGACATTCCTTACAAAGAGACAGTCCATGCTATAAAGCAGTGCAAAGAGTTAGGCCATGTGTAATAAACAAAACAACCAACAAAGCATCCATCCACGAAGAAGAATCGCTTGCTAGTACGAGCCTGATCCTAACCGCTCAAATCTGGGAGGACAGAGAGCTAGCATGTGTGTGTGTGTGTGTGTGTGCGTGTGTGTGTGTGTATAGATGTGTGTGTAAACACATAGGTTGTCTTCGGCATGGTAAAAGAGTCAAAAAGACTGTGCATCATACCATAGGAGGACAACATGCATCTGAGTGACTCAAGTCATTAGATAACCCTCAAAGAAATACAACCAGAAAAAAACGCAGAAGCAACAAGGGATGACCAGCGGCATCAAAGCACATAGATATGAGGGTACCAGGTAGGCGGGTGGGCAGACAAGCAGCCCAAGGCAGTGAGGCAAACAACAGCAAGGCCAAAGAAGCAAGGCAGAAAGTAAACACAACCAAAATCACAAGTGCAAGAAAAATAAAAGACCGGAAAAAATAGAACTGATGATAGGTTGTTTCCTCAGAGTTGCGGGGACTCATCAGGACGCTGAACCCTCGACAATCTGCGGAATCCATGTATTGATGCTTTGGGTCATGAACCCCTTGAACGTTATTGAATTTAGACTGCCCGCAAGCAACAACACAAGCGGAAAATAGCAGCAGGCAACGACTCAGCGGAGCACCAGGCAACGCTGGGCAACCCAACTGCACAAGGCGAAGGCAAACTGCTCGGATCCACACATGGGACACAAGTTGGATGGGCACCAAGGCAGCAGCGGAGCACAGACAAGGCAGTTTGCACATCCAACACGGAGCAGAGCCATCCAAGGCCTACTTACGCCACAAGAAGAACCCTACAGTTCGCACATCCAACACGGAGCAGAGCCATCCAAGACCTACTTACGCCACAAGAAGAACCCTACCACCCGCTGAGCCAGGAAGCCACTTCGACGGACATCTACCATCACCCATAGACGATATGCACCACAAACATGGCAGACAGGGCAGCCCCCAAAGAGTCCTGCAGGCGCTCCAAACAACTGACCACCGACTGTTTAGCACTCCTTACACAGAAAGTAAGAAAAGACATCCAGAAAGAGAAAAGTGTGTGTATGTGTGTGTGTGTGTGTGTGTGTGTGTGTGTG